GCCACCTGGCCCTGCCTGGCCCCTCTTCCTCCCATATCCTCTCAACGCTTTCATAAGTCTCTTGTATGAAAGCATTGAGATTATAAAACCATTGTTCTGTGCCACAAAAGCAGGCACCCAAAGTTACAACAGTTATAAAAAATGCCCAATGTAGTTTCTGCTTATTGAAAACTCCTTTTGCCTCTGAGGGAATCTGACTACCAGGCTAGTCAGCCCCTCCCAGCAGACTCAGCAAGCCTTTATGGTACTTCTGTTGTACCACTATTGAAAATAGTTCATGTTTTATTGTAAATTACTGTTATTTGCAACTTCCAGTTTTGCAGTTCCCACTGCACAGAGATCAAGCACCCAATTTTTCCTTTGTATCCATCAGTGTAAATCAAGATTAACTCCAGTGAAGTCAGCCTAACTACAGTGTAAACCTAGGAGGAATGAAAGGAAGATCAGTCTACAATCTACTTGGGATTTTTATTTGTAAATAGCAAAATTAATGCTGCTGTTCTGCAGACACAGGGTGACCTGCAAAGTACTAGCTCATGCATTACTAATGTATCTCCATTTAAATGCAGATTTTTGCTCCTAACAGACCTTCAGGGAAATCCTCTCCAGATAAACTGTAATAGGATAGCAAGTGGTGATTCAATATTTCACTTCAGCTTGTGTTTCAGCTTATTGATCTTAATTTTCTATCATTTTGATGCAACATTTATCTAGGGGGAAGAGGATTACATTCACTATAATACAGCTTTTAATTAATAATTAATTATTTTAATATTCCCCACATTCATGCCAGCAGTGGCAATCTGCTTGTATTCCTTTCCTTGTTTCTATTTTCAGTGGTGGAAACCAGCAAGGTGTGACTTTACATATTTCAGGAACTAATTGAGACATAGTTGAGAAAAGGCAATATAGCATAAGTATCACAGTGACTATGTGGGTCATGCTTAACATGACAGTCTTTGGTCCTTAGCCATTTGTGGTGACAGTAGTGAGACCCTGACACGATTTGGTTTTGCCATGTGACAAGTTTTGCATGAAGTTTTTCTCTGAATGTGCCTCCCTCAAGCACTGCTTAAGTGCAGCTTTTAAGATGCACATGAAACACTGATTGATATATTTTTTTGGATAGATAAGCTGTCTTCTCTGGACTGAACTTTAAGTGTCCTAAATAGTACAATGGAACATAGAAATTATAAGTCTGTTAGATCATGAATGCATTCATTAAGAGGACTTACCTGATACTGAGAGTGTTTTTGCTGCACTTGACATGATGACCTCCAATCTAGTTTAACTAGGCCACACTATTTCTGTTTCCAGGCAGAAAGCAAGCAGCACAAGGATTGCAAGCCAGGCTTATGTACCACTCAAAAATAACTGATTTTCAGTAGCAGCCACTCAAAAATAACTCCCTTCTGTGGTAGAAGTATAAATAGGATAAGATTTTTAAATAAACTTTTAGGTTTGGTGTTTTTGATTATTTCTGTAACTTAATTACCTATAGGATGAGTTCTGTTAACATTTTCAAGTATTGCTCTTGCATCTGTAAGATTTATGAATTTTCAGAATTTTACCTCTGAGATTAATATTTTTCATATAGCATCTGCAGATTTTGTGTACTTTTTTTAAATTATCAGAGTAAGAGTGGAAATTGCCAGTCTTGTGATTACTGAGATCTCTTATGTCATGTAATTTGGTCAGCAAAACAGATGTCTAATAAGTAATGATCGTTGTGATTATGCTCCTTTGGGAAGCTCACCTACATGCCCTCCGTTTTCTTCTCTTAAATTATGTCCAGCATTCTCAAACCCTGGGAGATTGAAACACCATCTAAACAAAACAAATCTGCTAGAGAAGCATTCCTCCACTACCCCATCAAAGTCAGTCCTCTCCATGCCCATGTTTAGGTCTGAATAGGTGGTATGCTGCAATCCATCAGACAGAAGTTTGTTACCGCTAAGAGCATAAGGCACATCATAAAAAACTGTCTCATGATAGATTTCATTGGGTGGGGAGGGATATTGATGGGGTTTTTTCCTCCCCCTCCAAAAAAGGCAGGAACAGTATTTGCTTTTAGCATTGAAGTCCTTGCTGACTTGATAGATGGAGAGTAATAAAAAAATAGTATAGCTACAGAGAAGGAGCTGGGTATTTTCCTCATCAACAATCCATTATCAGTAAACTCAGTTTGATTGGAATCAAAGCACTAAACAAAATTTCTAATGCTTAGGGTATTTCAGTTAATCACTTACGGGTTTATCTAAATCAAGTCTTTAAAGAGGCTACTCTATTGGTCAAAAAGAAAGCTTTCAGTGATCCAAAATAATATTCCTTTAATAAAAAATTATAGAATTTCCAGAGTTTTTGAGATTTTGATTTTTTTTAATCGCTGTGTGGAATCCTGTATTAAATTGGATTTGGTACCAAATGATAGCAAAACTATAAATATTAAATAGTAAAAAAAAAAAAATGTGGATTTCTTCAGAATCTCTATTTTGAAAAGTAATCTCAGAGGTGAAAATGGGCATTGTGATAGGTTGGGATTTTTTCCCCAAGACATAAGTTCTTGGTAGGACTTAACAATAACACTGAAATTCATTTTCTAAAAAGGGAATGGATCAGATGTGAACTGATAAAACTTACCACTTCTTTGACCTTGTAAACTTCCATCAGAATGCATGACACATCAGGAAGTTTGCCAAGCAGCAGTAGGTTTGCACATCCTCTTATTTCCTTTACTGGCTCAAACCTAGGTTTTTACATTAATTACTGTTCATTTATTGAATGGAAAACATGCATTTTTAATTATGTCAGTTGAAATGTTGGCTAATTGTGAAAGCAAGTGCTTGGAATTGGTCCATTTGAGCCACGTGAATCAGCAGTACTGTTTCACAGTTTTTGCATTTTTTCATTTCAATATTTCACACTGTGATCCTTGCCCAGCAGAAAACATGGTAAAGATTAAAGGCTCCATCTAGTGGGCTAGAATTTTCTATTGAAAGTGAAAAAAAAGGCTCTCATTTTCCCTAGATTTTATGCACTAAGAAATACAGCTTTAGATTTTGTTTCATTAAGCTGCCATGTTGTTGCTAATTCTTGCCTTCTGCAGAGCCATTATTTTATATGCAAAGCTGTGAAACATTAAGTATTATTCTGAGTCTTGAGCAAGAAGCAATAAATGATACTAAATGAGTGGGTTTACACAGCAGTTCATCTAAAAAGTTCTTCCTCCCCACCCCCTTCAAGTTTCAATATATAGTATCTAAAAGATGTGTCAGCAAATGTTTTAAAGTATTTAAACTTCTTTCCTACTTAAAACTGACTGGAAACACTAATAGGTTGACCACAGCACATAGTACAATATTTTGGGAGTATTTTCACTCAGGGAATTCTACCCACATTACCTTAGCATTAAATGACTTCTTTACCTGCAAACAGTGAAATCTGTGTTTTCTGGTAAGACAGCCCCTGTGGCCTCTGCTGTATCTTCCAAAGGCAAACACGAAAACTCATTCATCCTGGTATTTGTCTAGGAGCCTGCCTGGTACCACTGTGTGTCCAAAAGCATCCTGACAGAATCTAGCACCTTTATTTTTGATACAGTACAGTAGTACTGGGGTCTTTTCTTTCTGCTGGATTTCTTCACTGTTACAGTTATGATCCCAGCTCCTGGATTTCAAATGGCAGGACTCTTCCATTTGCAGTAGTAAAACTTGGGTGTTACTCTCATGCCAACAAATTCAGTTAGCAGCTGAAACCTCCTCTTCAGTTCACTTCAAGCTAGTAACAAGTGTAGGGGCAGGAATAAGTGGCAGCAAGCACAGATTTGGCAGAAGAGACACTGAGCTACATGTCCTGGCTTCTGTCCAAATGTCCTTCCTCTTAAAGCCATAGAGCCTGGCAAGATCAGTTCCTCCTGTGCAGCTTCCAGCAAGGGGTAAGCAGTGTATGCACTGTAGTAAAACACTACACCCAAGTTTTACTATAGCCAGCATTCATATCCAACACTGGAAAATGTGTCTCCTATGCAAATCACAAAATAGAGCTTACTAAGTTGTTTCACACTCCTTGTGACCACAGGGAGATCGTCCTCTGCATTAGGTCACTTAATATCAAATCCAGAGGATTTTTACTTCGGTATCAATGCACAATTTGGCAATTGTGATAGGTCACACAGACTTGATCTTCTAGAACAATCCTCCTAGCTGCAGCTCTTGTTGTATCCTCCACGGAAATGTTTTTCTGAGGTGCCAGTAGGAAAGAGATCTCATTTGGCTTGTTTTACAAGCTAAAGCAGAGGTCAGTATTAGAGTTCTTACTCTGAACCTTTCTGTGAGCAAGGACTACCACGGAACTGAGCAGTTCTAGAGTGCCTTGGAGGAAGTTGGTGTGTTTGCAATATGCAAACAATGCTATCACAAAAAGGGAAGAAATGAATGGCAGAACTTAAACTCCATGGTTTGCTATTTGTTAGAGTAATGCCACTTGGTTTCTGATATACACAAACAACTACCTCACACGCAATAGAAGATGGAAGTACCTTAATTCAAAGTTGTTAAATATCACTTTTAACGACTGGTCTTTGTTCTAGAATTGTTCATGTTTTAAAAGATTATAGGCTTGTTGCTGAGCTAAAGCAAATCCCAAGTTTGGAACTACATTAAGATTTTCTTTGTTTTACTTTATATACCTTTTCTAGCACTAGTACTTGAACTGATTCTAATGAAATACAAATTTTCAGATTTGAAACTCTGAGGATTATCTGACACGCTGCTTTTGTAATAACCTGCTGTAAACTCAAACTGTTAATTTGGGGATTAATTTATTGCCTCTTCAGGTCATTGAAAAATCTCATACAAGCTTTCTAACTAGGTAATGTTTGTCAGGGTTGAATTTATTGAGCTCTTTTTTGTTCTTTGTGGGAGCAGTGGTCATTCAAATCAAATGCACTGATGTCATTGTATTGTTTTAGTGAGCCACTGTCTCTTCTTTACCTTTCACAGCTAACCAGGTGCTGAAGTTTGGAACGCTCGTCAGTACTTCCAACACCTATGACAGCTCCGGGATTGTGACCATTGAGACGGACAAACCCTTGCTGTGGACAATGGCTATCAAGAGATAAGCTCAGCTACAGATGCCATTTCTGATCTGACACAACTCAAATTACTACAAAATTTCACTGAATTAAGACAGTAAAGCTGCTACAAGATACAAGCAAGCACTGATTTTCTGTATTGAATATAAAAAAGTCTAATATAAAAGTCACTTGAGATTGAATAAAAATTACTTGCAGTAATAGCGTACTTCATTCTGGTAAATCACACTACTTCATCAGAAGATGCATGAGCAGCCATTCAGTACAACCACAAATCAAAATGAATGTAAAGAAACTGCTGCTGCTTATCTGGTTAGTTCAGGCTACTTTTACGAAGTATTTTATTCCAATAGTTAACTATTTTTCCCCTCATGCCAAAAGGAAATATAGTACCAAGTTGCACATAGTATAACTGTATGACAAGGTGATAGCACCAAGATTAACTAACCTCATTTTTCTGTCCTGGTTTGTAACATATGTAGGTGCTGGTGAAGATTTCTCAAGAATAATAATTGAACTTTACTACTTAGGGAGCAAGTTGGTGTATCAGGTGTCCCAGTATTAAGTGCTTTTAAAGTCTGTAACAGAAGTACCATTGTACCTTCTGCAAATACCAAATGCTTACAGTAAGATTTTTGAAGTGAATTAAATGTCTTTTATCTCAATCTGAGGAGGAAGAGCATTGCGTCTACCAGAGTTTTTGCATGTTTAGTTCTTAAAATCAAAATATGCAATCATTTAAAATAATGGAAACTTCCAGGTCAAGATGCAGGGGCCAATATGATTCTATGTACAGAACAGGATCCAAAATTGGTGTATATCCCCATCCAACAGTGTGAGCAAGTTGTGGATTTGCTGAAGGACTGCTCAGTGTCTCTGACACTTAAATTATCCTCAAATGGTATAGCTCAGTAATCAATTATGTTTGGGTTTTTTAATTATGTCATCAGAATAAGGACTGGCAATGCAATTTCTTTGTTTGACACAAGGGGTTTTTTTATGTCAAGTACATACTATAACCTAGCATGACTTCCAAATGCAAGAAAGGGTTTTGTGATAATTATGGAGATTCCAGAAAATAGTGACAGGAATTCCCACACACTTTTACACCACCGCTTCAAAGGATATAGAAAGGCTGTTTTCTTGCAGTCTGCTTTTGCTGGAACAATGCTGTTACAAAGCTTAATTTACTGCTTTGTAAACAGCTCATGAAGAGAGGTCATACAGCTGTCCCCCATAGAAGCTTTCAGTATTTGACTGGAGAAAATCTTAGACAACCTCATTAGAATGCAACACTGACCCAGCTTCAAGCAGGACATGGGACTAGCGATCTTCCAAGCTTCCTTCCCACCTGAATGATTCTATTATTGTTAAAAGAAGTAACAAAAGCACACAACCTACTATTACCGAAAAAAAAGCAAGCCTGTAGACACGTATGCTCACATACACTTTAAAAAAGTAATAAGATGACAAGAATGTTTGAAAATGCAAACTGAGTTTGTTTAATATCAAACAAATTAAAGCTGTGAAATCATTGCAGCAGGTGTCACAACTGCCTTCTTCATGATGAATATTCAGCCACCTCTGTTGAGAGAACAAAGTAATCAATTTCAACTAATGAAGTGTGATCAAGTGATCCCACCTAAAGTCTCACTTATCCTCCCACCAATGCCTTGTTAGGACAACCACTACAGCTTATCTCCCATTTTCAAACCCTCCTTGCCTAGATGACCACTCTTACAGGTATAAGGAAGTCACATTTTGTGGACACAGAATGGTCTTTAATCTTCTCCAGTGATGGAGGGGGGATCATATTAGCTCTGGAGAATTGGTACTGTCAGTATGTCAGTACCATGGTGCCAGTCAACTTGGAAGTTCAAATTTTTCACTCATTCCAAAAGGATGCAGTTAACACATAAAACAATGTTTCAAATGTATCTAGCACTCAGTAAATTAAACAAGACCAACTTTGTTCTGTGCCTTGTCATCCTACAGCATACCCACTCAGTTTTCTTTACCTTACTATCCATCCATTTACTTTGGATACCCAAACTATAAACTGGAAATATTAAGAGCGTATAAGATCCAAATAAGGTAAATGTTCTATGGTCAAACATACAATGAGGAACTGAAAATCAAAATATCTGATGTTCGGTTTTGAAGAAGAATACTCAGAAAAAAACCTGAAGAATTATTGATCTAATGCTTTACAGCATGCTGAATTAACATAAAGTTCATTAACACTGTTCATAAAGTCCTTTGCACAGACACTAAAGCAACATGAGTAGGGTTCACTAATGTCCTCTGTTTGAAACTGAACAGGTAAAAATTTAGTGAAACTGAAGGCTATATTCACTTACACAATTATATTGTTGATTGGGATATGGATCAATTTGACAAAGAAACCAATAAATCCCATTATCGCAAAGCCTATTGCTGTTGCCATGGCAATCTTCTGGAACTCTGCAAAAAACCAGAAAAAACTTGTCAGGATGTCTCATGTATGGCACACAGATGTGCACTGCAGTGACCAGACATCTCTCTTTACAGACCATGTTAACACTTCAAAGTCTGCACAGATGCCGAGAGACAAATCCACTTTTTTAGAAGACAGAAGAGATTTTCAGAGAGAAGATGTGAATTTCTACAAAGAATCGCCAGTCACAATCTTTTTTAAATAAGCAGAATCATAAATATCCACAATGTCAATTCATACAACATCTATCCCATCATGTTTCCTTTACATCTCTACAAGCCCTGAAAGTAATCTCTAATACAGCATCAAAAATGGAAAATTTGTAGTTATGTCAGTCACAGGAGGACAGCACCGTAAGACCCCACTAAAATCGAATACTTGGGATAAATATTCAGAAACCTGCAAATCTGACAAGGAATGAAGTTCCTTACGGATCTTAACAGCAAACTTAAGTCATAGACCTGTTCACTCTGAGCACGTGAATAAAGCACTGTAACTTTCAGAGGACCAGTTGTATTCTGGTTTTAGTTACAGCTTCTCTCCAGGGCCTCTCTATACTCCCAGTGACAAAATTGTTCCTGTCCCAATCAGGCAATGACTGACAACTGTGGAGCACTGAATTTCAGCTACTTAACCTCTCTCCTAAAGTGAATTTTAGTACCATTTACACACCTACATACATGTGTTTATTATAGCCAGAACCTTAAACACACTGACATTCAGACAACTAAATCTCAAGTTTCAATCTCAGCTGAGAAACATCCATAGGAAACAAATCAACAGAAGTGACATATGGAAAGACACATGCTAAGATACAAGATGAAAAAAGGGTTGTGTTCTGGTTTATTGTGTGCTTTACCTTTCCTGTCAGGCTTGGTGCATCTCTTAACAAGTCGTATGGAATCTTTTACAAACTGACGGCTGGGTTCCACAAATTGCATTACCTGATCCATGATTGCCTGCAAAGACATACACATTTAGCATTAATGGTTCCACATATATACTGAAAACCAGATATTTTTAATTGCATTAGTAGCAGTTACCGACAAAATTTGTTAAAGGTTTACCTAAAGGATTACCTAAAGTGTCATATTCCAACCTAAGATATTTCCACTTTGCAGGAAATTAAGACAGTGCTTCAATAAATAAACATGAGGGCCTATTTCTGACTGCAAAAGAAAAAAATATGGAAAATTGTGCCTTTCAGCCCAGAAGAGGAAAATGGCTCCATCACACTTTGGTGTTCAGCTCATGTCCTAGGCCGTGTTTTTGAGAACACCACCAAAGGCGTCTAAACAGACAAAAGTTGGGTGAGACCCCCACACCAAAGGCTGGGGCTGGTGAGCACAGAGAGAACGCTGTGTCCCAGCCATATTCTCCCAGCAGCCGTGTGCCGGCACTGCCACCGCCCGCAGGACACGCACCGCAGGGATGTGCTCCCACCAATCCATAGGGACCGCCCGGAGCAGCCTCCTGGGGCGATCCCGGCCCCTCTCGTCCCCCTTCCCCCCCGCTCCGGCCGAGCTCCCGCTGCCTGCCGCAGCCCCGGCAATTCCCCATCGCAATCCCCGCTGCCCGATCCCCGATCCCCGCCTCCCAGGGCCGGGACCCCCGATCCCGATCCCGCCGGGCCGCGCTCACCGCCGGCCGAGGGACACGTCGCACCGAGACGCGGAGGGCAGGGCGTCACTGCGGGCGGGCGCCTTTTGGGTGGAAATGGAAGGGTTTGAGGGCGGGGTTTCACTCGGGATTTTTTTTCCCTTTCCGGTTTCCGGGCCCGCCGCTCCTCCCGTCTCGCCGGCGGGGCTGGGCGCTGCCCTGAGCGCCGGTCCGCCCTGGCAGCGCCTCGGCGGGCTCGGGCGGCGCGCTTGTTCCCGTGCCCTTGGAGCCCTGCGATGCCAGAGCGTCCCCGCGGGAAATAAGGGGAAGATGGGGTCACTGTTCTCCCAGGCAGACAGGGACAAGGATGAGAGGGCGTAGTCCCAGGCTGTGCCACGGGAGGTTTAGGTTGGACATTAGGAGGAATTTCCTCATAGAAAGGGTGATGAGATATTGGAACGGGCTCTCCAGGGAATTGGTGGAGTCACTGTCCCTGGAGGTGTTTAAGGAAAGACTGGACGGGGCACTCGGTGCCATGGAATAGTTGTCAAGGTGGTGTTAGGACATAGGTTGGACTCAATGAACTCAGGTCTTTTCCTGTCTAATTGATTCTCTGAATATGCCTGTAACAAATGCTCTTCGGTGAAAAGATGGGGGAAAAAACAAAAACACACATACCAAAAAACTCAAAAAAAAATAAAAAACTCCCCAGTGTAAAACTTGGTTTTGATGAATGCTGTAGCTATTGTGAACTAAGGGAGTTCATCACCTTTGAAAACACAGGATTTTTCTTGCGTAGGCAAGTGCTCAAAGGTGGGAAAGCTCCGTACATTTCAGCAGCGCAGGTGTAGGACACTCCTTGCATGAGGGGGAAATGGGGCTGGCACTGCCTAAAGGGAGCACTTCCCTGCTGCTTCATCTTGTAACAGATAAAGGAAGAACAAAGAGAAAATGGATTTACTGTTTTTATCCTTACTTTGCTTTTGATGTTATTGATTTTTTTCTCTAGAGCTCTGTTCCTCATTGACTCCACCTTTGAGTTTATATTACGTCTCCAAAGCTTATTAATTATTCATCAGACTGTGGGGCCTCTGCAGCCAGTTTAGCAAGTGCTTTGCTGATCTCAACTCCCTGTTGCATCTAAGTGTGCACAAAATATTTTCTGGGCTTAAATTTTTGCTGACAGCCTTCATTACAGGTACAGTACCATCACATCACAGTATGGAATTGGTAGTCATTCCACGGATTTTTTGGCAGCCACCTTCTTTGTCTCTGGCCACAGGGCAGGCCCCTCAGTATTACTGACCTCCTTCAGAGATGAGCTCTCTAGTTGGCATTGGAGGGTTATTGGCTTGATGTCCTCCACAAGTTTTCTCCAAAAGTCTGCCTTTGGGTTGGATTTTGTTTTGAATGAAAATTCCTGCTGCTGTTTCTCAGATGGGGCTGTAATTTTGGTGGCCAAATTCTGCTGGACCTCTTCCTTTGGCACACCAGCACAGAAAGATTAGTGTCAGTGAGGCCTCCCAGAGCAGATATGTGTATAATTTGGCTCTTGTTTCTGATGCCAGTCTGCAGTCTGCCCGGATGGAAGGAAGAGGAGAGGAAGATCCCTAAGGAAAGTAGCAAAGGGCCTGATTAATTGAAGTAATTACTTCCATTAACTACTTCCATTAATTCCCACACAATGTGTGATAGGGCAGAGTAAATTGAACCTTTGTATGAGATTCCATATGTAGAGGAATTTTGGTAAGCTTTGTCTTATTTGGGTTTTTTCCCTTCAGTACCACAGCCAGAGACTTCATCAACAGAGGAAACTCACATTTCCAGCTGTGCTGTATGCGGAGCCTTGCTGTGAACCATCCGCACAGTGGATGTAACCAAAAGGCACTGACTGGGTAAAAAATTATGCTGAAAAAAGTAGATGTGTATGAAACAATTCATGACACAGATTTCTGGTTGGATTAGATCTTTGTTTTAAAAAGCATTTGTTGAAATAGAGCTTTGTTCCCCCAAAATTCTCTATTTTAAGTTGTTTTTCCTGGGGAGAAATGTTCTGGACAAATATAGTACATGTTGCATGTCTTAACAGGGTGGCTTCAGCATAAGTTTGTACTATGGGTTCTCTAGAGTGTGGCAGAAGGTATCCATTGTCCTGTCTCAGCTTCCTTCACCCTGCCATTATAAGCTCTTGTCTTTGCCGCCAGCTTGCAAGTTTGGACTTCAGCAGCTTAGGAGAGAGCTAGAGTTCTGGTTTGTGCATAGAAAGCATTTTCTGTTCTCCTCACAGGATTTTCCAGCATTTATGGCGTTTTTAGTGTCCTTGAACTAATACATGGTTACTTAGACTCAGTCCTCATTTTAGGAACAACTAACAAACAACGAACAGGAACAATATGTTCCTGTTCTATATATATTTACAAAGAGCCATCTGCACTTACAGAAGATAGGGAAAGGTTTACATCTCCTCAGCATGTGCAATTTGTTTTCATTGAAAACTAGACTGCTACTCGGGTGTTTTGTTTCTACTACTTTATGGTTCTTGCAGGGTTGGGAAAGAAAATGGTGTGCTTGCACAGGTGAATTTTATGGCAGTGTTTCAAGTCTGCTTTTATGGCAACATCTAAGCAGTACATAACCATTCCCTCAACAGTAAAAAAGACCATTGTTATCCTATGCAGTATGTGCTAGCGCAGATTTGCTTCTGAATATTGCATAAACTGAAGCCACATTTGGAGGGAGGGGAGGGAAGAAGGTTTTCATCCTCTGTATGCTACAAGGATGAGAGACTTCTTTTGATGACAGTTTCACTTTGCATATTTGCACATTTTGGTTTGTAGTTTGTTCTTGTCTTTTTGAGGACATGCAAGATAAATATCTGCTTTTAATTATTGGCACATTAGAGTGTTGTATGACATCCATCCCCCTGGATCTGGACACTTACACATGGACAGTGTGATCAGCCTCCTCTTTAGCCTTTCCCATTCCATGCTGCCTGCCTGCCACTGCAGAGATCTCACTGCAGCCTGCAGAACATGGTGGGATGGCAGGAGCCAGAGAGCTGCCGCAGCTGCAGCAAACATAGTTTTGGGATCAGCTGAGGAGAAAAGACACAGACTTCAGTATGAGAAGCATCTCAGCCTCTGTAGGGTGAGATGGCATGTGTGTGATGCCAAGTGGTTGTGGGAAGGACAGAGCAGTAGGTCTGTCTGAACAGGTCTCCAAGGCTCTCTGTTCCCCTGTGGGATATAACCCCATTTTCCCTGACTGCTCCAGCCCAGGTTCCCATGAGGCCGGTGCTGCCTGGCCTCAGCAGCAGCTCGATGGCAGGGGCAGCACTCCACTCTCTGCATCTCAGAGTGGAGAGACCTGCCAGTCTGGTTCTCTTGTTTGAAGGATTGCTCCTCACGTGCTAGAAGAAAGTACTTGTAGCAGTCTTGGCAGGTTTCCTGTGGCTGCACAAAAAGTGGTACTTTGGAATATGAAGCCTTGCTGAGCTATCTCCTTCCCATCCCAACTTATCCCATGACAGACAGCAGGAACTGAGCTGCTCCCCTGTAGGAAAAGCCAGAGGGATGAGTGGGTGGGCAGGAGGCACAGCCAGTGCTGTGCCCAGGATCTCTTAAGCCTGCCTTGTGGCAGGCCATAAGGCATTTGAACTGGGGGAGGCAAGGCAAAACACTGGCTTCTTCCCCAGGGCGATTTTTTGGGAGGGATGCACTGTGAGCAGGAGTAGCATTTGGGGACAATCTGACTTTCCTTTATGAATTTAAAGGGCAAATGGTTATCCAGAGGGACAGCAAAAGCAAATAAAAAAACTAAGAAAACTGGGAAGGTGGCGACTTGTGGACTTATGTATGCAAGGAAGGTTGCTCACTGCAGCCAGTGGGCATCTGATCATGCTCTGGGTCAGAAAGCAGCAGAGAACAAAGGCCACCCAGAAGCAGAGATTTACAGCCCGAACAAGGGAATAATGTAGAGAAGGAAGAAAGAGAGGAGAAAGCAAGGTGATGTTGTGGGAAAGGTTAAGGGGCATCCTTGTTGAACAGTGCTGCAGGGAGCTGCCTTCTCAGATTTTCAGAGGCAGCAGCATAGTAGCCCCGTTGACCAAAGTCATGCTAATGCTGTGTTCTTTGACAGTCAGTGTTGTTGGATAACTTAATAACTATAAAATTCAGTCTTCAGAAATTGCAAAGATATATGGGACCTTTAATTTTTTTTAATTCTACATTATCATAAATGTGTTTGATTAATTTATATCTTGAAAAGCCATTGGAATATTGATGTGCTTCTGACATTTAAAAATTAATTTTAGCTTTTCATTCGCCTAAACAATCCAGAGACTCTGTTTGGACTTGATAAGCTCATCTGCATGATTTATGATAGGAAGAAAGATTATTTCCCTCTTCAGTATCTGTATAGATGCAGGGGAGGAACATAAATGGGAAATTAATGTTAAGAAGAAAATGATAGCTCAGATTTGGGGGTCAGGAGGAAATGATGGCGTGCTTGTGGTCCATGTCTTGGGGTTTAGCCTCAATAACTATAGAGATGCCACTAGATCAGACTTTAATGCTGTGGTTGTGAAAGGAAATGTCTCTAGTCTGAAGCAGCCAACAAGCCTCATCTTTTGATTTGTGCTTCTTAATATTCAATGGAGATGAAATGTGGGATGAGGGAGAAATGCTGTTAAAACAAAAGATTTTTGCCAGTATTGAATTTATTGTATATAATTTTAAAGATGACCTTTTTGGAAAAGCCTGTGTTTCATTTTATTTGAAAGAGAGCACTTGGGAGATTTGTGCTTGTATAATGATAGACAAAATAGGAAAGAAACAAGCTTGGTATACTAAAATGACATTGCTAAATGATATGTCAGACCAAAAAAATGTCTGAAGGTTTCTCTCTAGCAAAAGAAATACAGGGAAGTTAACAGAAGAATAATAATTTCTCCATCAGCTGTTCAGGACAGAGAGATAAAGAAAAATCAAATGCTTACTAGTTTCTCTGATGCAGTGCTTGCTGGTAAAGGTTTGTTTTATCTTGCTCTAATAAATAGCAGCTGATTATACAGGCCTTGTTCCTTACTTTGTAATTTCCACATGAAGATTTCTGTGTATATTAACAAATAAATCCTGAATCCTTGTTTAAA